CCTCTTCCCGTTTGTTTCTCTCCCCCCCGCCCCTTCCTCCTCTATTTTAAAAAAAGCCTCCTTGTACCGTGCTCTTCATCGGCGGCACCGATTGGACCGCGCTCGGCCGTCGTCCGACGGAGGGGGACATCCTTTGCCCCAAGCGACTGCTGTCGTTCCCCAAGAAGATCAAGTTCGTTGCCTCCGGCCCGACCGCGTGTCATAGCGTGTGCATCGACGTACAGGGAGGGGTGAGTCCTTGTTGTTGTTGGTGGTGGTGGTGGTGGTGTTGTTGTTGTTGTTGTTGTTGGTGGTGGTGGTGGTGTTGTTGTTGTTGTTGTTGTTGTTGTTGTTGTTGTCGGTCGCATGCGTTATCCAACATGCTAAGACGAACAACACCACTAAGTTGAGGTTTCTGTGGTCTCTTCACAAGATTCCGATTCTGGAGCGTTTGGCTTTGATATTTTCGTCCTTAGCTGCTGTGTCTGCCCAAAGATGGCTCTTGATCCATGGCCGCCAAAAGCGCCGGTTGTGGTACGTTTTCCGAGTTGGGGTCTGGGATTGCCGTAGGACGCTTCGTGCCTCCCCACCCCGAGAGTTCAGGAATTGATTGCGAAGCGCGGTTGGAAAGCAAACACACTCACGCCTGCGGACAGCAGCAGTAGTGAGGCGTATCCCACTTTGACAAGTGGGTGCGAATCACGGTACGTTGTGAAAAATTGAAACAATTGTTGCCACCGAGAGCAGAATACCGAAGTACTTTCATACGACAGGAGTGAGGCAGCACGGACTGCCGAGTTCGCGAGAAAAATAGAGGAGCGCACAGAGAGACTGCGATCATTGTCGCTTGCGTCCTTCTTGCGCTCTCAGCACGGGACCAAATCGGCTGTCGTGTGATTTTTCACTTGCCTCCCCTCACTTCCGCTTTTTTTTTTTCAGGTGTACACGTGGGGCCGAAATGAGTTCGGGGGCCTGGGGCACGGGGACACCGCTCCGCGAGCCCACCCGACCCTCGTGGCGGCGTTGAGCGGGACGAGGATGAAGCAGGCCAGCTGCGGGAAGACGCACACGGGCATCTTGGCGGAAAATGGTGAGCGATTGATGATGCCCACAAGTGCGTTTCGATGGAAGATATTGTAGGCAGACTACGTCGAGTCTTTTTGCGTGTCGGAAGAAAGACACTTGAAGGTTGTTGCCTCAACCATTGGCACGGAGTGGGGTATGTTTCTATAGTTTTCGCGTCTGCACAGGGGCGCAGTCGCTCCTCGACACCCACCTCGGTGTTGTGTCGAGGACAAGAGCCGATGTCGGAAAGCGCAGAGTAGGACCCCCCCCCCCCCCCCCCCCCC